AAAATGGCGGCTGCAGCAAGCGTGGCCGAAAACGCGCCCCGGCGGCGGTGAGCGGCGGCGGCAACCTTCGGCCTGGGCCGGTAAGTCTGGGGCCCGGGGCCTTAACCAGCCCCCGGGCTGTAGGTTGCCAGTCCCTGATTTAAAACAACTTATCAGACTAATACATATTAAAACAATCAGTCCATAGTTTAAAATAATTTAAATTCATAATTTAAAAATAATCTGTATAGGCCTGCCAGAAGAGGTTAGTCTTTAATGCTGTTTTAAATTCAGACAACGAATTCAGCTGTCAAATTTCTTCTGGCAGGTCATTCCACAGTTTAGGGGCAGCTAAAGAAAAAGTCCTCCGGCTGACAGTTGCCAGCCTAGTCCTGGCTGACTGGGATAAATGTCCATTTCACACACACACACACACACACCAGGCCCTGAGTGTATGATACAGGAGGAGACAATCCCATAGATAAACCTGGACCCAGAGCTTTAACCAACACTTGCCTGGAAACTAATTGTCATCCAGTGGAGTGATTTTAATACTGGTGTAATATGATCATTCTGAGATGTACCAGTAACCATCTAGGACAGGAGTAGGCAACCTTTTTGAGCTGGGGGCCAGGTTGCTGTCCCTCAGACAATTGGGGGGGCCGAAGCACAATAAATAAATATATATATATGCATGCACACTCTCTCAGCCGCAGAAAAGCCATGGCAAAACCCCTGTGGAGATTTTGCCAAGAAAACCCCAAGAACAAGTAATAACAACAATAATCAATATCATCATGATGCGGGGGGGTGGCGGCGGCAGGACTGGCCTGAGGCCGGTCCAAAGGCCTCGGGGAGCCGCATCCGGCCCCCGGGCCTTAGGTTGCCTACCCCTGATCTAGATACTACACGTCTCTTGATGCAAGTTGAGCAGAGGTCCTCCTTTTCCTCCAGGACATGTCTTCCATTTCAGCCTTCTGCCCAGGAGGAATTCCAAAATGTCATCCCATTCTGAGCAGGGCCAAGAAGCATGAACGTATATTGATATGCACATAGGCACACACCTTTCTAAGGTTTAATCTACACTACAGAATTAATAGAGCTTGACACTGCTTTTACTGCCATGGCTAGGGTGACCATATGTCCTAACTGCAAAAGGAGAACAAGGCACTGCAGAATGTGGGACAGTCAAGAAAAATGGAAGACATGACAAAATAAAAGCTAAAAACATAGAAATACAAATTAATGCTTCTTAATCATGCTCAAAATAGAGAGTGTTTTGGAATTCCTCCTGGACAGAAAGTTGAAATGGAAGACATGTCCTGGAAAAGGAGGATGTCTAGTCTACCCTGGCCATAGATCCATGTTGTGGAGTCCTAGCATTTGTAGTTTGCTCTGGCACCAGTCCTCTATGATGATGTAGTTGTTAACTGGCCTTGAGTCGATCTCAACCCATGGCGACTCTGCAGATGAAACATCTCCAAGACCCTCTGTCCTCCACTTCTCTACTTAGTTCCTGCAGATTCATATCCACAACCTCCTTAATACAGTCCATAGCATGTGTCTTTCCTCTAAAGGCTAAATAACTCAGTGTGGTCTAGTGGTTTGAGCATCAGACTACAACTCTGGTGACCAGAGTTCGAATCCCTGTTGGAGCATAAAAACCCATAGGGTGGCCTGGTGCAAGTCACACTGTTTCAGCATCAGAGGATGACAATGGCAAACCCCCTCTGAAGAAACTTGTGGAAGAAACCCTATGATAGGTTTACCTTAGGGTCACCATAACTCAAAAATGATTTGGTGGCATACAACGACAACAAAATATATCACAGAACTGCAAATCCCAGAATTCCATAGCATGGCATAGACAAGTTTATTTTAACTTAATGCTTTAATTATCATGTTTTAATGTTATTATTAGTTTAATGCTTTTTAAGGGGTGGGAGGGTTGTGAGATCTTGGATTTTAATATTATATTAGTTTTAACTGCTGTGAGCCGCCCCGATTGTCCGACAGAGGGGCGGGGTATAAATAAAAATTATTATTATTATTTATTAATTAATTAAAATGGTGTCAAACTGCTTTATTTCTGCAGTGCTGTTTAGATCTAAGTTTTTTGTATGCTAGCATGTACATGCTTGAATTTTGGCACCCTTCAATGTCATCTTTGCTGTGCCACCATTTCCTAACTGAAAGAAAGGCTGTACACCTCCAGATAAGAGCCAGCCCTATCTATGCTATGAATATCTTTCTCTCAGGGTGTATCCACACTGCAGAAATAAAGCAGTTAGAAACCACTTTAACTGCCATAACTCTGATATACAGAATCCTGGGATTTGTAGTTTGGTGGAGCACCACAGCTGACAGACCAATCTGAATACTCCACCAAACTATAAATCCCAGGATTTCACAGGACAAAGCTAAGGCAGTGGTGTCAAATTGCTTCATTTCTGCAATGTGGAAGAGCTGTCAGTCTTTTTGCATACTGATAATACAGGCTCCCCACACCCTTATGACATGCTGTGTTGCTACAACCAGGCTCCATCTTCTGGGAGAGGTTTAGGGACAGGCGTTTTTCGTGTGCATAGATATGCAAGGTAGCAAATACATCCCAAATTAAAAATTGTCTTGGCTAATCAGCTGAGGAGCAGACTACAGAATGCATTTTTACGACATATTAAATAGATAAAATTCCATTGCAAAGCCCACTGGATTGCTGCTGTTGGTTCTTGCCCTGACTTTGAAATATGAGGAAACAATGGGGAAATTCCTTTTCAGCCTGTGTAGCTAGCATATCGTTTGCCACCCATCTTTTCCCCCAAGGAAACGTCAAACAGTCCCAATCCATCTGCTGTTTCAGTTCACAGATTTGTTGTTGTTGTGTGCCTTCAAGTCATTTCTGACTTATGATGACCCTAAGGCAACCCTGAGAGCCAGTGTGGCATAATGGTCTGGGTGTTGGAATACGAGTCTGGGTTTGATTCCCAGTTTGGCTATGAAACCCACTGCATGATCTTGGGCAAGTCACACTCTCTCAGCCTCGAGAAGACATTGGCAAAACCTCCTTTGAACAAATCTTGCCAAGAAAACCACCATAGCAGGTCCACCTTAGGGTTGCCATAAGTCAGAAACAACTTGAAGGCACACAACACATAGACACAGGGCCTTTGCAGACTGCCAGAAATAGTGCAAATTGAGTCCATTTTAAGGGTTAGGGTTAGTGCTAGGGAATCATGGGAATTGGTGTTTTTTTTTTTCTGAGACATTGAGCCTTCTCTGTCAGAGAGCTCTGGTGCCACAATAAAATACAGTTCCCATGATTCCCTAACCCTGATCCTAACCCTTAAAGTGGACTCAATTTGCACTATTTCTAGCAGTCTGCAAAGGCTTACACACACAAGGCAACCCTATTACAGGATTTCCTTGGCAAGATTTGTTCAGAGGTGGTTTGTCTTTGCCTTCTTTTGAGATTGAGTGAATGTAACTTGCCCAAAGTCACCTGGTTGGTTTCCATAGCGGAGCAGGGATTCAAATCCTGGTCTCCAGAGTTATAGCCCAGTGCTCAAACCATAGCCCAATGCTCTCTAGGTTGACTTGAAACCCTTCAGTGTCTTGTTTTAGAAAACTCTGCAGTATGAAAGAGAAAGTGAGTGGGTAGTTGGCTGCAGCTATACCAGAACAACTGGAAGTTGCCAGAATATTATTGGTTCTAAGAAACTCCTGGGTGGTAACAGCAAGACAGCTAAAGCATGACAATGCAATTTGAGGAGATAAAGAGTGAATGGATTAGCCAGATCCTATGACTCAGCAGTCTGGCAGCCCAATGCTGATAAGGTTGGCTGCCAAGTCTCCGGGATCCAATGAAGTCTATGACTCAGGAAGGGACCTGGGGATGTCAGAGGGTTGTCAACTCAGGGATGGTGGTTTGTTTGTTTTTTAAATTATTTCGTGGGATAGCCCTGGGAAGGAGGCCAAACAGAAAAGTGGTGGAGTCCAATAGCAAAGGAGTGAGGATGTGAAACCATCGGAAAATGGGAGGAAATACTATCTCTCTCTCTCTCTTTCTCTCTCTCTCTCTCTGTGCATATGCACACACATGTATATGTATTTCAGATTTCTACCAAACAGTCAAAATTGCAATTCCATCTGGCCTTTGGTTTTTGAAATTGGCTTTTAAAATTTGATTTTTTTAAATATTAATTTGCAGGCCCAGATAGAAGTGATTACAACAAGAACTTGACTAATTTGAAAACCTCATGTGAATTTTGAGTCGCCTACTACTTAAATACTTTCCCTAGCTCCATGTGGAACAAGTTAGTATCAACATGCCCAAAGCAATCAACTACTCCTTCACACTTTAAAATAACTGGTTCTACTGGGTATACTAATTATTTGGGAAAGAGTTATCCCAAATGCAATACCACACCTAAAGAAATAACTCCCCTCCCTCAAGTGTGCAGATGTTTGGGACTACTGATGGTTCTGAGACTTAACTTGCCTTCCTGAAAATAAACCTCAGGTACTAAGATTTACTACCCAGGTGCTTCCTAGGCCTGCTGGAGACATTGGGACCATGCTCCCTAAAGAGTGTTTCTGATGTCTAATAGATCAAAGTAACACAAAGGAATCCTGCTCCTGAACTTCTAAGATATAAGGACTTGCTAGGTTTGTGTGCGTGTGACGTTGTGTTCTTACCCCAAAATGGAGAAGATTGTACATCAGATTACAACAGACAAGAGGCCAGAGTTTAATCATCCTGGACATTTGTAAAAGTTGGCCCTTTATATCCACAGATTCAAGCATCCATGGCTTGAAAATATTCAGAGATATATAAATTCTAAAAAGCAAAGCTTGATTTTACCATTTTATATAAGGGACACTATTTTACATGCCATTGTATTTAATGGTGCTTGAGCAGCCACGGATTTTGGTATCCACAGGGGTTTCTGGAACCAAATCCCAGAGGATAACAAGGACCCACTGTAATAACTTAGGTATCATTCTAGGCAAAGCTAGAATGAAATTAATACTTTTCATTTTCAAAAATTAAAATAAACAAATGCCCCCTGAAGGAATAATGGTCTCTCTAGAGCAGGAGTAGGGCAACCTGACGCCCTCCAGATGATGGTGGACTGCACCTCCCATCTTCCCTCACCATTGGCTGAATTGTTAAGGTTGCTGGGCATTGCAATCCAGCAATTTGGCAGGGGGACCAATTTGCCACATATCTGCTCTAGAGAGTATGCGCAGAAACAATGTGCTTGTTATGACAAGTGTGTGTGTCTTGTGAGAACTAGACTTTATTTTTAAACAAATGAAAGTAGGAGTTTGTGAGGTGTTGAGGGAGGTAGCATAGGCTGCCCTTGATGTCATGTCCCTAGCTTTGTGGCAAGTCTTGTTCTCAAGAAAAGGTTTACCTAAGCTTAAAGAGTGGGTTTGCCAGAACTCAGCTCCAGGCAGGCAAAGTCCAGCTGCAAACCAGGCTCAGCAGTGGGACATAAATCTGCACAAATTTCTTGCTCTTCAAGCTGGATGAGTCTTGCAAATCTACTAAGTAATTGCACCTTGGTCAATTACTTTTCTCCCAGGGTACAGTGGAGAACAAACTTTACCTACCAACTGGTTCAACAGGTTGGCTTTTTTGCCCCTGAGTCTGCAGGCTGACTGGAAAGGGAAGGCATGAACACTGAAACATCATTGCAGCTCATTTCCATGCAAGTGAGTGAGGATTTCAGCGAGGCTTAAACTCCTGTATGCCCTCTCCTTCTTCGGAATAATCTTCCTGAACCAGTCATGGGAGCAAATTTTATATATATAGATAAGAGATGGGTTTCTGTTCTCATTCCTTTACTGTCGTCATTTTTGGTAGAATTCAAAGACATAGCCATGTCTTTGGTGCTACAAGGGATCTTGTAGCACCTTTGTGACTAGTGAGAGAAAGAAGTTGGAATCTGAGGAAGCAGACTGTATTTCTGCACTGCAGAAATAATCCAGGTTGATATCACTTTAACTGTCATGGCTCAATGCTGTGGAATTCTGGAAATAGTAGTTTGTTGTGGCACCACTGCTCTTTGACAGAGAAAGGCTAAATGTCTCATAAAACCAGTTCCCAGAATTGTATAGCACTGAGCCTTGGCAATTAAAGAGGTGTCAACCTGGATTATTTCTGCAATGTGGATGCAGCCAGTTATTCTCAAAGGTGCTACAAGATCCCTGTGGTCACTTGCCTACAGTTGCCAAATCAAAACTCTTAAAAAACCTCAGTGGGGGGTATGAGGCATTACTATTCCCCATTACTGTTCATATTAGTGTTGGAAGTACTAAATAACAGGATAAGAGGAGAGATCGATATAGAAGGAATTAAGATAAAACGGCATATCTATCAAATACAAGCATTTGCCGATGACCTTATTTGTTTTCTAGAAGATCCTAATAAGAGTATAAGAAAGTTAAATGAAGTAATTGAGGACTATGGTAAAGTGGCAGGTCTTCGGATAAATAAGGATAAAACTGTAATATTGACTAAAAACATGAGTAAAAAAGAAGAAGTATTAAAAGAGATATCAGAATATAAAGTGGAAAAGAAGGTGAAGTATTTAGGCTTACAACTCACTAA